GTGTGTGTGTGTGTGTGTGTGTGTGTGTGTGTGTGTGTGTGTGTGTGAATGTGTGGGAATTAAAAACAGACTGTTGCCCTTTATTTATGCAAAGCCACCTCAGAATCCAGTTTACCCTGTGCTGTCCAGCTTCTTCCTTGGGAAAACCATCCCCACCCCCACTTCCTCACACACACCTTTCTGTTCCTCATCTTCACCTGCTTCCCTCAGATCCCCACTCTATTAGAAAAGATAAATCTCTGCCTACATAGACTTTTTTATTTAAACAAAGTAACTGTTGCTTACAGTGAGTTTGGGGGAATGACTTTCCTGGTTCTTGAATCCCAGGATGCCACATTTCCTAACTGTTCTTAATGGTTAAAAAATAAGTAAAAAAAAAAAATTTAAAAACCGAAGAAGAAACGGAGACTGCTGAACTATGCGATTTATTGCTGTCTGTTCACAATCTCTCAGGAACGAAGAAGATTGTAGTTGTGAGCAGACTCTGTTCACTGAAGAGGCCTGTGCAATAGAGCATAGACCCTCTCATGTACCGCTCTGCACACCTGATACTGTAAACATCCTGTAATAATAATGTCTCACCTGGAAATGAGAGAAGACGCTGGGTCCGATTAAAACTGTGGTTTTTAAAAACTGTTTTTAGTTAAATGTTGAGGGGAAAAAAAATAAAAGGCTTTTCACCCCAAAGTGTCACGTGTGAATGTACAACACCCTGACCTCTTTCTCGCCTCCTTGGTTGTGTGAATAACCCTGAGTTCATCTCTTCGAGCTGATTTTAACCTTTAGCTGCAGCGGCTGCACTGCCACATGTGTGTATATATGTTCATTGCACATCCTCTTGAACTACCACAGCTGGGTCCCCTGCCAGGCTACCCCTTTGTAGTATGATAAGTTAACAAGTTTGTGACCTGCACAAAGCCAGACATAGCTATTTAATCCCTTGCCAAACAAACCCCAACTGCCTTGGTCCAATGCTGAACTAGTCTCTGTAAAAAGTTCTTGCTGTCTCGGCAGCCAATCAATTCATACTTTATTTTTTTCTGGGTTTTTGTTTTGTTTTATTTCCTTTCTAATTGGGGTGTGAAAAAGTTCTAGGTCCAGTTTATGTTCCTGATGAAGAAAAATATTAAGGTTTTCTTTTCTTTCAGTGATAAAATCTGCATCTTTGTATTTCATCAATGTAGCTAAAAACGTGATGTAAATACCTCCATTATCTCTTTTTGGCTTACTGAATATTATTTATTCATTGTGAAATCTGTATAGTATGTGTTCTACATGTTAACAATAAATATACATTAAATCTTGGTTAAGAAAGAAAAAGAGAAACAAAGAAAGAAAGAAGAGGAAGAAAGAAAAGAACAGAAAAGAAAACAAAAGAAAACGAAGTTAGTTACCGGCCCTGTGGAAACAATCCAAGCCCATGACACTTTCTTCAGCAAGAGACTTCCCACATCTCACGGAACAGCAGTCACTCCAAGACCTTTACTTCAGTCCATTAACTGACTTGAAAAGTCCTATGACTTTAGTCTTCTTCCTTTATGACACCTCTTAAAGACACAGTACACGGGAGGAAGCTAAATCTTAAGCAAAGGAGATTTCATCTGTGTGCTAATGTGAATCAGCCAAGTGCACATCTTCCCAGATAAAGAACATACCGACTGGAATTATACCCTAGGAGGGACACATGCATGGACTTTATTAGTAAACTTTATTACAAAGGAATGAACAGTTGAAATAGGAGACCTCTTCACTATAACAAAATCAAAGATGTCACTGAAGAAAGGGAAGAAAACTCTGCCTTCTTTCTCAACAGACTAACAGAGGCCTTCAGCAAATTTAACAACAGAGGCTCCAAATTCCCCAAGGGGCACGCATGCCTCTGCCTTCAAAGGATTCCTCAGAACCTGTGGGTGCAGTATCTTACCCCACGGAGCCAGCTGTTGAGAATTGCCTTTCAAGTGTTCAATAACCAGAATCTGGAAGAAGATTGGAAGGAATAGAGAGGAGAGAAGGGGCCCAAATAATTGTCCTTGACCCTGCATGTGCTACCGGTCTGACACATAGACTCATTTCCCTCCCAATAAGACACAGAAATAACAATGGCAAACTTAGGTCTGCTTTAATTGCATATGCTCAGGATATTGCCATATGAATAACCATAGATCCTTCATTGTCATTTCCACCATGTCAGGACTCACAAGCCTGGGAAAGAAAGTGAATTAAAATTTTTCTCAGAATAGGAAAGGGTTAATTCCTTCATCAAAGTCAACTTTTAGTACTGAGGGTTCCTGGGAAACAGACTGACTTAGGGTGCTCATATATTGATCTATGGTGAAGTATCCCAGGTTAACATAAAGAGAAAAGTAAAATAGTAACAATAACAATACACTTGTTTTATTAATCATTCCTGAAATGTTTTCTTCTTTAGTCAGTAGGACTAGGGAAAACACTCAAAAGCATTAATTGTTCTCAAAGTTTCCTTTATATTTGAAGATCAGGTTTGGAACCATACATTCATAGGTTGTCAGTAGAACCTATCTCAATTCTGTTGAAAAGAGAATTACTGAGATATCTGGAGGTAAACTTGCAATCATCAATGTCTCTGAAGTTATGAGAGACTGACATCTAAAGTATCCCAGCAAATTGAAGAGCAGACAAAACAGTGTGGAGTGTTTGGATTCCCAGGAAAGCTAAACCTGCTACCCCAATAGAATCTCACTTAACAGCTGTATAAAGTGCCTCTTCTAAAATGAGTCTAAGTAACAGATAACATTAGAAAACAGGCTCCAGCCTTTGGTGATGTCCAAAATAACATATCTCACCAAAAACCACAGGTGCTACCTCCTGGGGGAAAGATGAGAGAAAAATCATATCACATAACTCCTCTCAGAACAATATTTATTGCAGAAGAAAAGCAAATAACAACCGAACACCATGAAGAAAACGGAAGACTTCAGAGAGCCCTCACCCTAAATGGTATATTTGTACCATACAACACTCCTGAACACCCAGGGGTCTATGTGAAAGAGAAAGAGGAAAAATAGCAAAAGTCAGAAGAAGTTGGTAAATTGAAGAAACAATATATTCTGAAAGCAACAGGTAAAATGCTCATATGATTTCAAAGCAATTGTGAAAACACATAAGACCTAAATGAGTTCAAATAAAAATAAAAAATAAAAAAAGAACAACTACTACACTGCTTGAGCCCGAGAGCAATCCACAACAAAACAAATGTGGCAATGACAGAAATTGAATGAAGTCAGGTTAGTAGGGAAAGGAGATAACTGGAAGTGTTAGGAAATTTGTTGATGTGATCAAAACATAGTGTATGAGTATCACCAAGAGTTGATAACAAACAAAATTGAAAACATAAGTCTATTACTTTTCCAACATTTTAGCACCTGCAGCTAAGCCTGAAAACCTGAGTTTGATCCCTGGAACCCAAAAGGTGGGAAAAGAGAAATGACTCAAAACTTATCCTCTCACTTCCACACATGCACCACACAATATGCACACCCATGCACATGCACAATCATACAATCAGAGGCAACTTCACACATATGTGTGGGATATGAGCACCCACTTACATACATAATCCCACTGTCAAAGGCCATGAATATTTTTTGAAAAAAAGACTCTTAATTAGGAAATCACTTGTCATTGAATTCTTTCTTAAGTATGGCCTACTTGTACATCATGAGTGTCCTTGCAACAGTAAAAAGTCATGCCAATAAACTCAGCAAATGAAAAAGAGCCACAAGGTGCTGGGCTTTGAATTTGTCAATAACCTCGTGATCCTACTACATCCTCTAATGGCTAATACCTGCACTCTTCCTTCCCGGGGCCATGAGTCTACTAAATAGTGTACAGTGTTGATCTCAATATGTTCTTTTCTAATTCCTTTGTGCCCTAATCTCGACACATGTTGAATATAAAATAGGAAGGCTCAATTCCTGAACTTCACAAGCAGCACACTTGGGAATTCCTTATTCAAAGCCTCAGGGATAGCACTCACCTTTGGTTTAGCACACAAGTAAAAGATCTTAGGGAATTACCTTCTGGGGGAGACATGATTCAATATATAGAAGATATTTGGACATGAAATCATGTCATGGAAAGAAAGACCACAATATTGTCACAATTCAGAACTCTCTAGCCTCTTGAAGATGTTGAGTCTCACAGACAAAAATCACATAATCCAGAATTGCTTGTGAAACATCTTGATTCCTGTAGCAGAACTATTATCCCCACACCAATTTATAACCATAATTTCGATAATTCCACCAAAGAAAAGAGGACAGCTTTGATCAATTGTATGGATGACTGAATCATGTCACAACAGAAACCCAGCTCAGAGTAGGCTCAATCATCCTATGATACTATCTCATGTCCCAGGCCCTGATGATGAGAAGATGGTCACTAATGGGATGATGGTCAATTAAGACAATCCTTCAGGCAAATGAATCAGGGTCTCAAGAAAGGAATAATCACCGAAAGCCCTTTGATTCGTCTGTTTTAGAAAAACAAGGGTTTGACTTTTGTGTATGAATTCATGAGTAGGAACAGAATGAGGTCTTGGCAAATTTTTCATAGAAATGACGGGCTGCATCGTAAGAGTGGCCTCTTGACTGGGAATCATGACAGCGTATGTGCTTTAACATTCACTGGAAAAAAATCAATTCTCCAGATTTTCTTCTTTCCTCCCCTTTCTTTTCAAATGAGGCAGCCAGTATTCCCTAGGTGAAGCACAATAGATGGTTCCAGTAACACCTCTGAGTTTCAGTCTTGTTCTATGGAGCAAACCCTCACCGTGAAAACTCATCCCTTAGAGTACCCTTAACCTAGATGGAAAAATTGGCACTAGCTGTGAACTTATACGCAGGCTTCAGGTAAACTTTTCACAAGGAAAACATTAAGATCCAGGCAAGGAACAGCCCAAGATGTAATTACCCAAATGCCACGGTTTTCCTTCAGGTCATCGATTTGATCACAAGGGCAATATAAATTTACTTAGGAGAAAAAGAGAGTGGAAGTTTATCTCATTGCTGTAAGACTAACCATTCGTAAGGATGCTACCAGTGACTCCTGTCCTGTGTATTGTTTACCTAACTGTTCCCTAAGTCACCATCATTATTCAGTAGTACCAGAAAGAAAAGATTTTGCCCATCTCTTTCAGGATAATTGCTGTTTCTCGTCATAAGATCACAGCAAAAGCTATTCAAGCCAGTGTCACACAATTAAATCTTACTTAAATCACCTATAAAGTGGCTCCAGTTCCTCCACAAAAACACTCCTTCCCCAGTATGCATTGATCATAAATTGTTTTGTATCTGCCCATTTTCTTAGGGACGCTCTAAAACATGAGATTTCCCGTGTCACCTCAGAACTGTTCCAGAGAAATCTCATATGAGTATAATTATCCAGGGGCTGAAATACTGCTGTAAACCCACAGGACCCTGTAGACTTCTCCTTATGTGGAAGACAGTATTTTCTGTACTGCCCCAGAGATCAAAAATTCAGTACAGGATTCTGTCTACCTCCTAAATCTTCTAAGTATGCCAGAGAGAATTTCTAAGTTTCTGGTTATATTACTAATATGAAGTATCATAGCAGACTTTCTTTAGGGCCAGCACGGAACTCCAAAATCATGACATGGAGAATTATTATTAGTTAGGGATGCTTGGCCTTAGCATTTACTCATTTCTGGCTAACTCTTATAACTTATTTTACACTGTTTCTCTTCATCTGTGTTTTGTTTTGGAGCTGTTTACCTTTATTTCTGTATGCCTTACTTTCCTGCTATCTCCATATCTGTGTGACAGCTGCCTGGCTTCTAGCCCTGGACCTGTCCCTCTCTTTTTCCTTCAGTGTTTTCTTCTCCTTCGAGCCTAGATTTTTCTTCCGATTTATTCTCCCTGCCCACCAACAACACCTTTCCCTCCTCTGCCTAGCTCTTGACCTTCAGCTCCTTATTAGAACATTCAGGTTCCTTAGGCAGGCAAGGTGAAACAAACTTAACACATCTTTACATAATTAAACAAATGCAACATGAACAAATAAAAAACATTCTATATGTTAACAAAGGCTGTAGCAAGGCAGGCCTGCTTCTTGGGGTATCTGTCCCTCCCGGTACCCCACAGTCAGCAAGTCCCCAAGAAAAATCATACACAGGACTCCATTAGGTTATAAACTGATTGGCCCATTAGCTCAGGCTACTTATTAGTTCTTATGACTTATCTTAACCCATTATTCTAATCTATGTTAGCCATACGGCTCCATACATTTCTCAACTGGGCAAGTTACATGCTGCCTCTTAGGTGGTCTGCGCAGGAATCGTGGAGGGACTTCCTCCTTCCTGGAATTCTGCTGTTCTCATTGCCCCGCCTCTACTTCCTGTCTGGTTGACCTGCGTATACTTCCTGCCTGACCAATCAGCGTTTTATTAAAATACATGATTGACAGAATACAGATAATTCTCCCACACCAAAAGG